TTTGGAGAGCTATCACTTTCACTATAGTTAGAGTTATGAGACATTTTTAAACAAAAAGTTTTTTCACACAAAAAATATTTTTAAAGAAAATAACATTTTTGAAGTGCTAGACTTGACACTTAGAGGTCTAAGAGTACAAATTGAACTATGGAGTGAGGTGAGCTATAAAAAGCCACTTAATAAACAAGCCTCTTCAAGTAAAAATCTCTAAACCCCCTTGTACTTTGCCTTGCACAAAAGTTTTCACAAAATACTTTTCAAAAGAAAAATAACAAACAAGTGCCTAATGTGTATAATTAAGCAATCCAGTCAAGACTTGAAAACATAAATTGCTTGAAAACATAAATTGCATGAAAACATAAATTGCATGAAAACATAAATTGCATGAAAAAGTAAATTGCTTGAAAACTTAAATTGCTTAAAACATAAATTGCATGAAAACTTAAAGACAAGAAAACATAAACTAGACATATAAAGCTATAAACCTAGGTGAGAACTTGGAAAGTACCAAAGACTTCCAAGGACCTCTCTCACAAGCACTAAATGGATTACCCTAATATGAAAACACTAAGGAGAGATGGAAATGCACCAAAGGCACTCCAAGACACTCCTAAAAGGCCTTGTACAAGAAATGAAAGAAATGTAAATTTACAAGAAATGAAATGTAAATTTACACCAAATGAAATGTAAATTCACACCAAATGAAATGTAAATTCACACTCAAATGAAATGTAAATTCACACTAAATGAAATGTAGTGGTTGCACCAAATTTTAGAAAACAAAATTCATCCACTAATTTATTGAAAAATTTAGAGACGGATTTTCCAAGGGAAATTTTGTAACAAAAATTTCTGTCTCTAAACTAGTCACCAATTTCACAAAATTTTCACAAAATTGATTGCTCCTTCAATTTAGTTTCAGCCACCAACTCCTTGCGGCACTCACAAGTGTGTAACCCCTCTCTTAGGAATAACCTTGATGTTGGTTATTCCTAGGTGTTTAGATATCCAAAGCCTTCCTCCAATGGAGAAGCAAGCTTCCTAGGCCACCACAAAACCTTCCAAAGTTGGCTTCCTTTGTAGCTTGGCCTTCCACACCTTCAAGAAGCACTCAACACACCTTAAGTTGCTGGAATATATGGTAAAAACTGAAAAGGAACAATTAGGAGAAGCTACACCAAATGGTGGAAATAGATGAGACAAAACTAGAAGGAATTCCAAACAATGACAAGCAAAAATTAAGGCACCAAAGAAAGGCTAGCACAGAAAGGGAAACCTATCAATGGCACTAGAGTAGATTACAAAATAAAATCTAAGATTACAAAACAAAATGAGACACAATCTCAAGTGTTCATGGCTGGACAGTTTTTAGAAAATAGCAACATAGGCAAACCGAGAGCAAAACAACACTAGTTTTTTAACTCCTTTGGCTTTTTCTTTTGTTCTTTCTTTGTTCTTCTTTTTGAAAATTCCTTTTCACTTCTTTTTCTTTTACAACATAGGATTATTAATGTCTTTTACTCATAGAAATCTCGGATTTGGTGTATAAAAACTGCTGCAAAAAATTTCACAAAACAAGAGGTATACTAGTGAATTCTTTTTTTCTAGTGCTCACAATTTTTGTACAAATTTTACGAAATTTTTCAAGCACTTTTTCTTTTGTTTTTCTAATTCTTTTAGTACACTTATACCTCTGTTTTGCCTCTGTTTTAATGGACAAAAAACGTTCACACAGTTCAGCCACACACAAGACACAAGAAGTCCTAGGAGGCAAATATTGTTTACACAATTTTTTTGACAAACTTTTTAGCAAAACATTATGGAAACCTAACTCTAAGAAATTTGCTAGGACTAATAGCAAATCAAGAACTAAAATATGTAAAACAAAAGCACATATAGGTCAGGTACAAAGAGTATATAAACTGCACAAAACGAATTGACCAAAAACAAGACAAAAACAAAGGTTAAACAAGCTAGTCTAGGAATTAATGACATGTAAAGGACTAAACATGACTCTAGACAAAACTTCCATGATTATAAACCAAAAACAAATGCTATTAAATGTTATAATCCAATCACGGATTCAGTTTATGGAATTGGAAAGACTCAACAAAAATAAAAACGCACAAGCACAATGAATACCTAAGGAAAAAACTGGATTGATTCAAGAGTGATGGAACAAGCATAATATGAATCAATCAATTTTCATGTGACATTTTGGATCCTTCAAAATATGTATTAAACCTAGATCCATTCAACAAACATATTTATGACACAAAATTAAGGAAGAAACAACATGGATTCAAGCAAAGGAAAAGAGACACATAACCTCAAGAGCAAGAAGGCTCTAGATACCAAAAATGATGGAAGTGAGTAGAAGTGGTTGATGTTATTCTTCACTCTCCACCTTCAATCCCTTTCTTCTCCTGAGGTTGACACGCCAATGAAGAGAGAAACACCTTAAAGAAGCTTCAATGGTGGAGAAGCAACAAGGGAGTTCAGTAGCTTCTTCAAGAAGCTAGAAGATCGAGGCACCAAGGCACAAAGGTTGGAAACCTTTGTGAAGGAACTTAGGAGAGAAAGTTCTCCAAGAAATTCTAATAGTGTGTTTGGATGGGGAATTTAAATGGAGTAATTCATTTATTTGAAGAATTTCAAATTCTTTGAGGTGAAATACCTTGTTTGGATGGAGAATTTATAAGGAATTTGAAATTCAAGCATTTGTAAAATTTCTTCAAATAGTAGAATTTCAAATTCTCCCAAAAAAAGTAAGAATTTGAAATTCCACTTTTTTTTCTTATTTCACTTGTATATTTTATCTTATCTCTTATCTCTTTATGTTTTAATTATTTAATATTTAAAAATAATTTTAAAATTATTAAATATTATCTAATATTAATTCTTAAAATTATTAAATATT